TAAATAAGATATTTTATTTAATATATATTATAATTATCTTTTAAAATAAGAGTAACGTAGCACCAGCCCTTCGGACCAAGTGGCAATAGCCACCTATGGTGCATTCCCCCCTCCCTCAGGGCTGGGGTTCGAACCCAGCCCCTTGTAAAATCCGTTCAAAAAAAAAAAATAATAAGAGTAACGTAAAAGAAATTAAATGATATTTTAAAAAGTATAAAAGTAGACAATTAAATTTAAATACCCAAAATGCAAGATTAGGTTTACTAAAGTTAAATAGAATGAGTAATTGTGATTAAAGTCAATGATTTAAATAATTTAATAATAATTTTTTATTAAAATAACTTAAGATATTTTGAATTTAATCACTAATATAGTTATAAAATAGGTTAAATGCTAAATTTGGTTCCTCAACTTTAGTGAGTTGCACATTTTTGGTCACTCAACAATTTTTTGCACATTTTTGGTCACTCAACAATTTTTTGCACTTTTTTTATCCCTAAACTTTAAGAAATGCACTCCGTTAGTTCTTCTGTTAATTTCGAACGTTAACTTGCTTGCGTGGCATTTTTTATAATTTTTTTGATGATGTGGCAAAAACAAATTGAAAACGTGTTGATGTAGATTTTTTTTCATGCCAACTCACATTATTACTATTTATATTTTTATAAAATAAAATAAAATAATTTCGTTCATTTTCTTCCTTTCTCCTTTTCTTTTTTTTTCTTCCTCTTCTTTCTTCCTCTTCTTCCTTGGGTCATTGAACCCAATTTGTTGGGTTTGACAAAACCCCGTCTGGGTTCCACTGAACCCAGCAGAACTGGGTTCGTTGGAACTTTTTGACATCATCTGTCCTTTTCCATTCCCTCATTGGCTTTCCTTGCATCACTCCATTTGATGCCCACCATTTTCTACTTTGTTTTCTGGCAAAGGTTATCGGTCGCCAACCCTATGGACCACAAGAGGAATGGCAAAAGAGCAAGGCCATACCTTATTATCCATAACGATCCAAACATATGAAATACATATCAAAACATCAGTTCTCAAATGCAAAGTAGCATTTTTTGAGTTTTAATCCATATGTTTTTTTTATACATATAATTCAGACAATAAATCTTGGGTAGAGAAGTAAGAAATGAATAATTTAATAATGGATGCATTGCCACTTAATTTGCTTGTTTTGATACAAATTCTCAAACTCACTAATGGGTGTTGATATTATTTTGTAAAACACATCAAAATATAGCCTACTGAGAGGGGAAAAAAAAGGTTGGAGCTGATAAGTTTCAGCCAATTACTGTGAGCAAGCTTTGTCAGATGACTGAGCCAAATATACCTGTGAGTGCATATGCGATGGCGCAGAAGGTAAGAGCCTTGGGTTCCTTAGCTGACAAAGCTGCAGTTCCCAATCCATGGGCACTGGAACAACACAAGGAAAAATATAAAAAAGCATATTCAGAGAATAGAGATGAACAATTTTGTGATTCATCAGAACAAAAAAAAAGTTGTTCATATAAACAAACATAAAAAAAAAGTGGAGTTGGGTTCTGGGTTCGGTGGAACCCAGGCTAGGTTCCGTCAAACCCAGCACTGGGTTCCAGCGAACCCAGACGGGGTTTTGTCGAACCCAGCAACTGGGTTCAATGACACGAGGAAGAAGAGGAAGAAAGAAGAGGAAGAAAGAAGAGGAAGAAAGAAGAGGAAGGAAAAAAAAGAAAAAGAGAAAGGAAGAAGATGAGCGTGAGTTTTTTTATTTTATTTTTTAAAAATATAAATAGTAATAATGTGAGTTGGCATGAAAAAAAAAATCCACGTCAACACGTTTTCAATTTGTTTTTGCCACGTCATCAAAAAAATTATAAAAAATGCCACATAA